TGAAGATGCTAAAGAAAGGGTACCTGGGCAGATCCGAAATACCACAGGGCCTGGATGTCCTGGTGCAAGGCCAGGCAGCGGGTCAGGTGGTCCTGGTCTCCTGTCACCACGTTCACCAGGCCTGCTGGGAACAGGGTGGCCATATCCTAGGGGATGAGAGAGTGGGACACACAAGGTTGGCAGCCAGTGGGGGCAGAGTGAGGAGTGAACATCTGGGGAGTGGCATGGGAATCTTGAAAAGACTGGAACCGGGGTCATGGACTGGGGAAGGGTTGAGGCTTGGAGAGAATGGGCATTGGGTCTACAAGGAGTGAAGGCTTGGATGTTGGGACTTGGGCTACCATGTTTATCAACGGGGGTGGGGTGAGTGCCCAGCTGCTGTAGGCCTTGGGGCACCTTTCATCTGCTGTCCCAGGGGTTGCTGGGAGCAGTAGCAGGTAGGAAGGCAGGCAGGTGACTGTACCTGGCAGACCTCCAGAGCCAGCAGGGGACAGGACCTGCTGGGCACCAGGACTACAGTGTTGCCATGGGCCAGGGCAGGAGCCAGCAGGGACACGAAGGCAAGCAGAGGCCACTCGTCTGGGCACACAATAGCCAGCACGCCCAGTGGCTCCCGCAATCGGAGCACAGGGCCTCTCAGCCCTGATACCTGCAGAGACAGGTGGGAGGTCAAGGGCGAGGCAGAGGAGCCTGACTGCCCTCCCATGGCCTTCTCCATTGCCTGTCCTTCTTCCTCTTATCCCCACCTTTGCTTCACTATAAAAACTCCAAAAATAATACAACCAGGTGACAGTTAAGGGTGCAGAACTCTGGAGCCACACGCCTGGGTTCAAGTCCCAGCTCAGCTACTCCCCAGCTGTAACCTTGGGTGTGTTACTTAACCTCTCTGGGCCTCTGTTTTTCTGTCTTTAAAGTAAGAATAATGGGGCCGGCCCGGTGGNAAAAAAAAACCAAAGAGCAAGAGCTGCCGGATGACAAGAGGCCCTGAGGCCCTGCCCAGCGATTCTCAAGATCACTGTGTTGTATTGGAGCCACACACTGGGCTGCTGAATCTCAGCATTCAAATGGCCACAAACAGACCAGAGTTGTAGCTCCCTCCCTTCCCTTGAAGAACAGCCAGGGTTAGTCAGAGAGTTTATTAGAAGACAAAGAAACCATTAAGAGGAATGTTCCAGGCATCTGGTGTCTGTTGGGGTCCATCTCACCTCTGTCCAAGATGGAGTGGGTGACACTCTGTCATCAGTCCCCCATGGGCAGCCACAGGGCCTTGGTCCGTGCTGCCCGCATCCCCAGCTCTGGGCCTGCCCCCTCGGTCTCCTGATCCCAGGCCTGAGGGCAGCCTCTGTTCACCCACACCGGTTTGAGGTTTCCTGCTGAAGCCCATTCCACAAACTGGGAGCCCTGGGATGGGGAGAGGGTGAGATTAGTACTTCTACGGCTTGGTTGCTAAGCAGCTGCTTCCTTAGCAACAAAGACTATTACTGAAAGAGGCCTAGGGCTTGACCTAGGCTCTGTTACTATGACAGTTGGCTCCTATCAAGCAAACCTTCCAGATACTGAAGGAAAAGAGGTTGGCCCTGAGGCTAGGGAATTTCCTCCCCCTTAGCAGCCCATGTTCAAGGGAATGGGGCCAAAGGCTCTTGTTGACAAGAAGTTCCCATATATTACCAACTGGAGGTTTAAGAAGGTAGACTCTGGGCCTCCACTCTATTGCTAGGGTGTGGACCTTAGCAATGGATTGTCCACTGAGATTAGGTCTTTGGGCTGGGCAGGCTCTAAGGCCCTTGTTGCTAAGGAGATCCTCTTCCTTAGCAACTGGGGCTCTAAAGGGGCAGGACCTCAGAACCATATTGCCAAAGAGTTTCTCCGCTTCAGCATCAGGAATTCTAAGGAGACAGAGCCATAGTCTCAGAAAAGGAGGAGACTGTTGGTGAAGTTTAAGACACTGAAGATGCTAAAGAAAGGGTACCTGGGCAGATCCGAAATACCACAGGGCCTGGATGTCCTGTGGTACGGGTGCAACACCGAGGGTTGCGATCCGTTGCCGGTCACAAAAAAAAGACAAAAAGGAGAAAAAAAAAATAAAGTAAGAATAATAATTGTGCCTACCTCACAGATTTGTTTGTAGAATGAAATGAGTTAATATGTGCAGAGGGCTCAGGATCTGGCCTATGAGTTTGTGTGTGTGTGTGTGTGTGTGTTACAAAAAGCTCTATTGAGTTGGGTTGGCCGGTTAACTCAGTTGGTTATTGCTGGTTAGAGCACAGCCTTGTAACACCAAGGTCATGGGCTTGGATCCCCCTACTGGCCAGCCACCAAAAAAACAACAAAAAAAGCTTTATTGATTACAATTGACATTCATTGTAGTGGATTGAATTATGATCCCCCAAAACTCATTGAAGCTTGAACTGTGTCTCCCAAGTTTTATGTGTTAGAAACTTAGCCCCCACTATGACTGTTAAGAGGATGAGAATCCTATTACGGTATTGAAAGGTGCAGCCTTGAGGTGATTGGATTGTAGGACTGTGCAGTAGTGAATGGATTAATAATGGTGGTCAGGGGCGTGGTGCTGAGGGCTTTAAAGAGAGTGAATGAGCAGGTTACTCTCTCTGCTGTTTCTCCTTTCATGATCTTGCAATGCGAGACCCCTGGATGAACTTTGGACTTCCCAGCCTTAGAAACTGTAAGTAATAAATTTTGTTTTTCTTTATAAATCACCCATTTTCAGGTATATTGTTATAAGCAACAGAAACAGAGTAATACATTCATTAAACTGAACATATTTCAAAGGGTACATGTAATAAGATTGTGTAATATGTATACATCTATAAAACCATCACCACAATCAAGATAATGAACTTTTTCCCATTCCCTGCCCCTTTGTGATCCTTTTCCTCCTGCCCCTATTTGAGCCCTCTCTGTCCTCAGGCAGCTACTGATCTTTCTCTCACTAGAGATTCATTTGTATTTTCTAGAATTTTATAGCTACAGAGTTGCATAGTCTGCATTTTTTAAATCTGGCTTCTTTTCAGCATAATTATTTGAGATTCATCTGTGTTGGGGCATATTCACTTCTTTTAATTGCTGAGTAAGTTTCCATTGTATGCATGTACCACATTTTGTTTAGCTATTAATCTACTGAGAGATATTTGGGTTGCTTCCAGTTTTTAACTATTAGGAATAATGGTGAACATTATTGTGAATATTTGTGTATAATCTTTGTATGGATATATGCTTTCATTTCTCTTGGGTTAAAACTTAGGAATTAATTTTATCTAGGTAAACACCTAGGAATCATGGCCCGGTTCCATGGCAGGACTATGTTTCACTTTTTCAGAAAATGCCAAAGTGGTTGTACCATTTTACATTCCTACCAGCAGTACATGAATGTTCCAGTTCTTCCACATCCTTGCCAACACTTGGTATGGTCAGTCTTTTAAATTGCAGCCATACTAATAGGTGCATAGTGATATTTCATTGTGGTTTTGATTTGCATTTCTCTAAAGACTAAAGATATTGAGCATCTTTTCATGTGCTTATCGGCCAGCCATAAGCAAACATTTTTTGAGTCCTTGGCGATATGTCAGGCACTAAGTACTTAACTCATTTAGTTTTCACAACTCAATGAAGCTGATACAATTGTAAAATTGTACAACTGTGTACCATCTATGGAGGATGACACAGAGGCCCAAGTCAAGTGACTTGCTAGCTTTCTATTATCTCTATTCCTGGGTGTTCCTGTGGCATTGTCTGAGGGCTGAATCTTCATGCTCCCTTCATTGGCCCCACCATACATGTGACATCAACCCAGTACATAAATTTAACTGCATATTATGTATATATAAATGAAACAAAAAAGTCATATAAGGGCCAGTCCATGGCTCACTTGGGAGAGTGTGGTGCTGATAACAGCAAGGCCACGGGTTCGGATCCCTATATAGGGATGGCCAGTTAGCTTACCTGGGAGAGCGTGGTGCTCACAACACCAAGTCAAGGGTTAAGATCCCCAGGGGCCAGCCTGTGGCTCACTCGGGAGAGTGCGGTGCTGATAACACCAAGGCCATGGGTTCGGATCCTATATAGGGATGGCCGGTTCGCTCACTGGCTGAGTGTGGTGCTGACAACACCAAGCCAAGGGTTAATATCCCCTTACCGGTCATCTTTTTTAAAAAAAAAAAAGGGTTAAGATTCCCTTACTGGTTATCTTATAAAAAAAAAAAAAAGAAAAAGAAAAAAAAATCCATATGAAGCAATACTCTGTGCAATGCACTCTGTATTTTCTATCCTATTCTCTTTGTTAAAAAAAACAGAACCTTATGCAAACCTACCAGCCTATGGTGACTTACTGTCACATAGCTCTGATGTTTTGTCATAATAAATGTTTTCAATAAAAAACAAAACAAAACAAAAAACAAAGAACTATTATGGTTATGGCCCACTAATTGATTTGGCCCAGTAATGGGTCACTAACCACAATATGGAAAATACCAGTCTGAGTAGGCTGTATGCACATTATACAGATGAGGAAACCAAGGTGTAGAGAGGTAAAGCTACTTGCTGATGATCATATAGCCAGGAGGTGGTGGCACTGGGCCTGGACCCCAAGCCCGGCTCATTCCAGAGCCTTTGCTCTGACCTCCACCCCAACTGCCTGCCCTGTCCACCTGCCCACAGACCCCTCTCACCTGCAGGCTGTGGCCTTGAGCCTGGGCCCGGGCACCCCATGCTCGAAGTCGCCTCACACTCAGTTCTACCTCTGCCTTGGCAGCCTTGAGCTCCACTCCCTGCCTCTCCAGCCTTGAGGCCAGGGTGAGCTCCCGGCGTTTCAGGGCAGCTGCCAGGGCCCACAGCAGGGCCGCCCGGGCCCCTGGAGACTGGCCCACCCAGCTGTGGGCAGACAATGAAAACTGGGTGATGGTATCCTAGTCTTGGCTTTTCCCAGATACCCAACTCTGCTTACAGTCCCTAAATTAGGATCCTAAGCCCCATAGCCCACCAAGCCTTGGGGGTCCCAGGCTGCCCTATCGGCTACCCCATAATCCCTGGGCTTTCATGTGTGATCCCTCTTACCCAGGGGCAGCCTGGTGAGCAGCCTCCACAGCACTTCGGATATCCTTGGCTCCACCCTCAGCCACATAGCCGTGGAGGTTGCCATCCGAATCCTGGATAGACCTGGAGCTCCGGGTCCCAGGAGCCTGGAAATGGCCCCCCACGAAGAGTCCATAGGGGAGTGCTGGGCTGGAGTAGGATGAGGCATGAGAGTGGGGGTCCTGGGTCTTCTCAGACCCCAGGCTCCACCCCACTGGATAGACTATCTTAGCTCCCATGAGCCTGTGGGGGACCTCAAACTCCTGCTCCCCTGCATCTGGGGGAACCCCATGTTCCTAGGCCCATGAGTCTCTGGAAGAGCACAGACCTTCATTTAGCAGTACTGAGATTCTCATCAGGCTTGGGTGGGGGAATGTGTGAGGCCATAAAACCCAGAAAGCAAGAGTCAGCAGGACCTGTGGACCCCACAAGGTGGCTCTAATGGGCCTCCCTCTAGTCCTCCAGCCCATGTGGAACTGGACACAACTTTCCTTCTCCCATTTCACACCCCTAGACCACCTTGCCCTTGGAACCACTCACCTGGGCCCTATTTCAGGCCCAGCTGGTAGGGTTGAGGGGACAGCAAGGCCGAAGGTGTCATAGTTCAGATTCTCGGAAAGATAGGGCAGCCGGGCAGGGGTCCCTGAGGGCCGCAGATATTCATATAGACCCTGTGAGAGGAACAGTGTCAAGAGAATGCAGGGTAGACAGTGGGATGCATGTGTCACGGGATGCAGGGGTGGTGATGGGGGCAGGGCGTGTGCACTCACATCTGGGCCCCCATGCCACGAAGACCCACTCTCTTTGCAGCCACCTGTGGGCACTGCAGGATCTCTGAGGCCGTGGGCGTTGATCCAGACAGTGCCCACCTGGAGCCTGCCAGGGGAGATGGAGACATCAGAGAGAGAAAAACAGAACGTTGGCAGGGGGGGTGAGTCAAAGAAAAAGGGGGACATGAAGACTGAGGGAAAGAGTAGAAGCTTGGGCCATTCTGACGGGCCGCCCTTCATACTGACTGACCCGTAGGCCAGCTCCAGCACCTGCCCCAGCCTCTCGCTCCACACGCTGGCGCTGCCTCCCCGGGGCGTCCCATTGGCCATGGCCAGGGATTCCTTGGCCGTGCGGAAAGGGAAGGCCACAACCAGAGGCCACGGCACCTGGAAGTGGTAATGGGGGAGCTCAGGTGGCCTGGCCAGCCCCTCCCTTTAATACCCCACCCATTAGGGGATGAGCCTATAGCAGTTGGCAGCCATGAGACCCAGGGCCTTCTGCAGGTATAGTGCTGCTGTCCATGTCTGGCTGAGGTGAAATAGGATCTGTAGGACCGTAAGGGGCTCACCTCTGCCTGGGCACACGGGGAGGCTGGAGGCAGGTCAGAGACCAAGGTTGGGGGATAGAATGGGCTGTCTGAGGGTACACTGCCAGCCTGGAATACCTAGAGAGAAAGAAAGAGATCTAGAAGTCTATCTCCAGCCCCCTCCTCCCTCAGACCCAGGAGTCCAGGTCCCCAGCCCCCTCCTCCCTCAGACCCAGGAGTCCAGGTCCCCAGCCCCCTCCTCCCTCAGACCCAGGAGTCCAGGTCCCCAGCCCCCTCCTCCCTCAGACCCAGGAGTCCAGGTCCCCAGCCCCCTCCTCCCTCAGACCCAGGAGTCCAGGTCCCCAGCCCCCTCCTCCCTCAGACCCAGGAGTCCAGGTCCCCAGCCCCCCTCCTCCCTCAGACCCAGGAGTCCAGGTCCCCAGCCCCCCTCCTCCCTCAGACCCAGGAGTCCAGGTCCCCAGCCCCCCTCCTCCCTCAGACCCAGGAGTCCAGGTCCCCAGCCCCCCTCCTCCCTCAGACCCAGGAGTCCAGGTCCCCAGCCCCCCTCCTCCCTCAGACCCAGGAGTCCAGGTCCCCAGCCCCTCCTCCCTCAGACCCAGGAGTCCAGGCTACCGGCAGCCCCTCCTCCCTCAGACCCAGGAACTGGGTCTCCAGGCCCCTTCTTCCCCAGCACCCCACAGTCTATGTCCTCCAGATCACCTGTGCACCCTGGCTCTGGGCCTCGTGCACATAGTGCTGGGCAAGGTCACATGCAGCAGTCCCTCGGGCCCCCATGTCCACAGCCCCATCTAGCCCTCGGCCGCTCCGAAGTCGTCCCATCCGTGCCTGGAGCCGCCTCATGGTTTCATCCCACACAGACTCCTGGATGAGGAGCCTGAGGCCCCCCTGTTAGGAAAAGGAGCATCAGGGTGGGCAAACTCAGGGCTGATGTGGGGAAGACAAGTCCCCATGGAGGGCTGAGACTCAGGAATGGAGGAGGATTGTGGAGAAGTGGCTGAGGACCAAACCCGGGGGAGAATGTGGATTTACAGAAAGTTGGTGATCCAATGGGTGAAGATGAAGGTTGGAAAACTAGGGACACAGATACTCAGAAAAATGAAGACAGTCCTAAGAACAAGGGACACAGAGCCCCAGACTGTCCAAGACCAGGAAAGGCGGGGACAAGGAGATTTGGAAACTTGAGGGGAGGAGTCCTGGACACACAATGGTGTAAAAACAGAGTTTTAGGGTCCAAAGAACTGAAAATTAAAATGAACAGAGACTCAGGATGCCAAGGTTAGAGAAAGACAGGGGCGGTCCCCAGGATGTAAGTGGACAGAAGTGCACGGGTCTCACCTGGCTGCGGTCAGACCAGGCTGCATCCACAATGCCCTCCACGGCTGAGTCGACATCTGCTGTGTCCATCATCAGCAGCAGTGATTCTGTCCCCAGTGCCAGGCCCAGCTCAGTCCCCTTGCCTGCCAGAGTCCGCCGAAGGACACGTCCTTCCTGAGGGACCCCGGCTAGGCTCAGCTGGGAAAGGAGCCTCCTGGCTCCCAGCCCTGTCCTGCCCCACTCTTTGCCCTGAAGATACCTCCACGGCTCCACAGAAGGCCACCTTCTGGACTCCAGGCTGGGAGGCCAGGACAGGCCCCAGGGAAGCAGGGCCACTGATCACATTGAGGATTCCTGGGAATGAGCCTAGCTCCCCTGCCAGCTGGGCCAGGAGGAGAGGTGTTGGGGAGGCTGGGGGCACGAGAGCCACCACAGTGCAGCCTAAGAAAGGGGAACAGCTCAAAGACCTGGGAGTCTAGGCCCATGGTGCCTACTCCCTCAGACCTGGGAGTCCAGGCCCCCAGTCCCCTCCTCCCTCAGACCCGGGAGTCCAGGTCCCCAGTCCCCTCCTCCCTCAGACCCGGGAGTCCAGGCCCCCAGTCTCCTCCTCCCTCAGACCTGGGAGTCCAAGCCCCCAGTCCCCTCCTCCCTTAGACCCGGGAGTCCAGGCCCCCAGTCCCCTCCTCCCTTAGACCCGGGAGTCTAGGCCCCCAGTCCCCTCTTCCCCCAAACCCAGGAGTCTAGACCTCCAGCTCCCTCTTCCCTCAGACCCAAGAGGCCAAGCCTCCAGCCCCTCCTCCCTCAGACCCAGCAGTACAGGCCCCTATTCCTTCCTCCCTCAGACCCAAGAGTCAGAACCTCCAGCTCATCATTTACCCACAGCCAGCGCAGGGCAAATCCTCCACATCATCTCAAGGAAGGAGAACGTGGGTGGCAAGATGAGGCCAATTACTCCTGCAAGAAAATAAAAGAGGGTCAGTTGGTTAGGGTGCAGCCTTGTAATGTGGTTTGGATCCCCATATCAGCCAGCTGCCAAAAAAAAAAAAAAAATGAGGGGAATGGGGTTGGAAGTGCTGTGTCATGCAGGAGGAGGGGATGGGTCCTGGACTCCTGTTTCTTACCCATGGGCTCCCAGCCTGCCAATGCCTCCTCCTGGGTGTGTGCCTGGACTGCATGGTACTGAAGCAGCTGCTGGGCCAGTGGAACATCCCCATCTCGAACCTCTCGAATGGCCCGCCCAGTAACCAGGGATTCCAGGGTCCACAGCAACCGCTGATGCTTCTGGATCATCTTGGCCAGCCTGTGGAGAAAGCAAGAGGGGTGATCATTTCTCAGTGCCCCTTGACCTGACAGAGTCCTGGAATGCACCATATACCTATAGTTCCCATGAGCCCCTGGGGCATCCCTACCATTTACCAGGAACAGGGAACACCAAAAATTTACAGGAAATGTAGTCAGGGAAACAAACCCTGAGAGTGCTGTGTAAAGGTAATGGCCACCAATAAACCCCCAAAGATATTGGGAAATTCAGTGTTAGCTTCTAATCTCAACTGCATTTTAGGCAATAGAATCTTAGTGTCTAGCTGCTGCCAAAGCAGCTAGAAAATGGGTTTGGAGGCTTCACCAACCCCAGTGAACTAATGAGAAATGAAGCTCCAATGAGCTCCAGGAATATTCTGAGAAACAGAGGCTTTGTCACTACCAGCCCCAGTGAATAGTTAGAAATGGATGTTTTGACCACTAAAGTCCTAAATGCATATGAGCTGTAACCGCCAATTGATTCAGTGGGATATTGGGAAACAGATTATTTGTTCTTCACAGTCTCAAATGGATGCTGAGAGATGATGTCACTCTGTACCTCCCAGGGTCCACGTCTCAGCTGTATCACCTGGTCAGATGCTGGGCCCGAACGGCTCCATCACAGTCTCAAATGGATGCTGAGAGATGATGTCACTCTGCACCTCCCAGGGTCCACGTCTCAGCTGTATCACCTGGTCAGATGCTGGGCCCGAACGGCTCCAGGGAGTCTGCTCCAGCTTTCAAACGATGTCTTGGCTGCCGTGACGGCTGCTACCACATCCTCTGCATGTGCCTGAAGGCAGCTGGCCAAGTTCTCTCCTGGGGAGAAAAGTGGGGGGACCCAGATGGGAGAAGAGATGGAGACAGCCCATGTCAGAACTGGAGGGGACTGAGACTTCTGGAGCCAGGCACAGGCCCAAGTCTGTGTCTCACTCTGGGTCTCAGTTTTATCCTTGGTCATTGCTCTGGTTGCCTCCCATGGGCAAGAAAGGGATTTTAGTAGACAGCAACTTCAAAAAGCCTCTATAGGGACTTGGAACAATAATTAGGATGACTGTTATCAGGAGGAACCAGAAATCTTAGGGGCCCCCACCTCCACACTGGCGTTTCCTGCCCACAGGGCAATAGGCAAAGGGAATGGAGTGTCATTGGTGGGTATGGCTGGAGGGCACAGATGCCTCTCTCTCCCCTAATGACTGGGGGACATCTCATACCTGTGATGGGATCCTGGCAAGGCACTGAATTCCTGTGTTTTGGCTTTAACCACTTCCCATTTACATAGTGACCCAAGTGCCGGTCCTGGGTGTCCAGCCAGGCCTGGGGAAGGCAGAGACAGGTTGGAAAAGGGTCTAGGGAAGCTCACTCGACACCTGTCCCTCTTCGCCCCATCAGCTAATTCTTTTCCTCCTATTGTCTTTTCTTAGAGATTGTGGTAAAATACACATAATATAAAATTAACCATTTTAAAGTGTATAATTCAATGGCATTTATTACATGCACAATGTCATGTAGCCATCATCACTATCTAGTTCTAGAACATTTTCATTACCCCCAAAGGAAACCCTGTACCCATTAGGCAGTCACTACCCACTCTCCCCTCCTTCCTGTCCCTGGCAACCGCAATCTGCTTTCTGTCTCTACGGATTTGCCTGTTCTGGATATTTTATATAAATATGATCATATCATATGTGATCTTTTGTGACAGTCATCTTTCACTTAGCATAATGTTTTCCAGATTTATACACATAACAGTACATTTCAGAACTTCATTCTCTTTTATGGTGGAATAACAGTCCATTGTATGGATATACCACATTTTGTTTATCCATTCATCCATCAATGGACATTTGGATTGTTACACTTTTTGGCTGTTGTGGATAGTGATACTATGATCATTCATGTACAAGTTTTGTTTGAACACCTGTTTTCAGTCCTTCTGGGTATATATGTATAAGTGAAATTGCTGGGTCATATGGTAACTCTTTGTTTAACTTTTTGAGGAACTACCCGACTGTTTTCCACAGCAGCTGCACCATTTTACAGTTTCACCAGCAACGTACAGGGGTTCCACTTTCTCTACCTCCTTGGCAAAACTTGTTATTTTCCATTTTTAAAAAATTGTGGTAATGGGCCGGCCCGGTGGCGCACTGGAGAGGGCGGCGCTCCCGCCGAGGGTTCGGATCCCATGTGGAGACCAGTTCCCACTCACTCGCTGAGTGCGGTGCAGGTGCGACGCCGAGGGTTGCGATCCCGTTGCCGGTCCCCGGTATGGGCGCGACACCGAGGGTTGCGATCCCGTTACCAGTCAGTAAAAAATGACAAAAAGGAAAAAAAAAATTGTGGTAAAATTGGGAGCTGACTGGTTAGCTCAGTTGGTTAGAGTACAGCCTTACTGTACTGTACAAAGTCATGGGTTCGGATCCCCACATCAGCCAGCCGCCAAAAAAAAAAAAAAAAAGTGGTAAAGTATACGTAACATAAAATTTACCATTTTAACAGTTTCTTTCTTTTTTTTTTTTTTAAAAGATGACTGGTAAGGGGATCTTAACCCTTGACTTGGTGTTGTCAGCACCACGCTCACCCAGTGAGCAACCGGCCATCCCTATATGGGATCCGAACCCATGGCCTTGGTGTTATCAGCACCACACTCTCCCGAGTGAGCCATGGGCCGGCCCATTTTAACAGTTTCAAGTGTACAGTTCAGTGGGTTTAAGTATATTCACATGGTTGTGAATCACTACCATCCACCGCCAGAAGTTTAGTACTTGCTGTAATTTTAATGCATCTCATCTACCACATCTGCTCCGTGTTTCTTTCTCTCCCTGGTTATGTCTTCCATGTTGTTAAATCCAAAGCATGGCTCCCACTTTCTCCTTCTACAAACTCTCTTCTCTTAGCATCCTTTATGCCATATTTTCCTGATTTCTCTCTTATCCTGCCCACTGCCCCTCCTTATTTCTCTTTAAAGCAAAATGGTCACCCAAAAGTTCCAAACTCAAATGCCCACCAGTAAAGAGATTTTTTTTTTTTTTTAAAAGATGACCGGTAAGGGGATCTCAACCCTCGGCTTGGTGTTGTCAGCACCACGCTCAGCCAGTGAGCAAACCGGCCATCCCTATATAGGATCCGAACCCGTGGCCTTGGTGTTATCAGCACCGCACTCTCCCGAGTGAGCCAAGGGCCGGCCTAGTAAAGAGATTTTTTTAATACTCAGGGATCATATCTGAACATGAACTGGGTATTAGATGATATTATGAAATGACTGCTAATGTTATGTGTGATAACAGCATGGTAGTTATGTAACAAAATGAGTCCTTACCTATTAAAAATAAGGGTTCAAATATTTATGGGAAAAGAACATGACATCTGGGATTTGTTTAAATTACTCCAAGAAAAAAAAAAAAATATATATATATATAAAATATATATTAGGAAAGAAAAAACAGGAAAAAAACAACATAGGACCAAATGTTCATGATTACTAAAGCTGAGTGATGGGTAAATGGGAGTTCATAATAAATATTAATTACTCTGTGGATGCTGGAAAATTTCTCCCCTAAAGAATGTCCACAGGGTTCTGGCAGGCCATGTAAGTAAGAGAAGAGGGCCTAGTGGAGACTGGGAACTTACAATTTGTCTAAAAACAGTTGCTATTGGTTCCAGATGGTGTTTGTCAGGGAATATCTGCCAAAGGTTGCCAAATTAAAAACTTTCATTTTCAAGATAAGCTGTAATCTCAGATGTTTACATGGAACTAACTGTCCAGTAATTCACATTTTCAGAAATAAAGTTAAAGACAAAGAAAACATGTTTGTTGGCTGAGTCTGACCCATGGACTGTTAGGTTGAAACCTTTGCTGGGAGGATGGAGGGGGATGGGGTAGAGAAACCCATGGGTCCTGAATCCAAGAGCTCAGCTTCAAATCTCAGCTTCACTTCTTTTAAGCTGTGGGGACGGTGGGTAAATTACTTACTTCTTCAAGTCTCTGCGTCTATCACTAAAATAATGACAACAACCTCTCTCAGTTGTTCTGGGGATGAAATGAAATTACTCTTAGCACAGAGGTTGTAACACAGAAAACATCCAATAAGCTATTACCACATTACTGCTATTTTAGGACATTTTACCTCTAACAACCCTCCAAGTGTGGGAATTCTCTGTACTTTGCCCCAGGTCTTCCTATTTGAGCATACACTATATTTCTAGATATTCAATGGTCTTTCTACCTTGGAGACTCCAGGTCTGACTCCAGCCCAATTGTTGGTCTTGAGGCACAGGCTCAGGTAGCATTTGACTCCTGCACACTGCTATGGTTGTCCCCAGTTACTTCACTCTGTGTCACAAGGGAGCTCAGTGTCTTTCCTTCACCGCCCGTTCTGAGTTCGCCATGCGGGGACAGCCACCCAATTACAGGGGCAGACCCCAGTGCCAGTCATTGCCCTCTTAATCCCCCAAACCCTCTGCCTCTGGAATCTCTGCCTCATCCCGCCCTGTCCATCTCCCCTGCCTGAGCCGGGCACCAGTCTCACTTCCTTCCACTTGGACCACTGCTCTAGCCTCCTGCCCTCCCTCTGAAAGAAGCCCAAGCTCCTCATGCCTGGAGGACCTTGCGGGATCACGAGACCCATGAAAGAGTTGAGGGGTCCTGGGGGATGACAGAAAATTCGAGGCACCTTATTTATCCACAGGAACCCCAAGAGAATTCCAGGGGACCCTGGGCGATCACGGGAGCCTCATGAGGATTTTAAGGGGTCCTGAAGAATCACAGGAGCCCCACGAGGCATCCTAAGGACCAGCGGGATCACGGGAGCCCCATGGGTTTGTTCTTAGGGGCTGTCTGTAGTTACAGGAAGTTCCGATGTATTCTGGGGCTCTGAACGTTACCACGAGATCACATGAGCCCCACGAGTGCTGAGGGGCCCTGAGGCATCACGGAGGCTCCAAGGAGGTTCTGAAGGTCCCCGGGTGATCAAGGGAGGCTCACAGGAACTCTGTGGCGTTCCCGGGGGATCATGGCAGGTTCTGAGGCAGCCCCGAGGACTCGCAAGAGCCCTGGGGGGCGGGAGGAGGTGTGAAGAACGGGGGAAACACCACGGGGAGCTCAGGGCCGTGCAGTACGAGAACTACCAGGGAACACGGAACAGACTGGGAAGGACCGAGAAACAGACTACGAAGGCTCAAGGGAACGTCCCGCAGGGCTGGGTCCTAAAGGGTCGCGGGAATTACGGGAACTGAAGGGGCGGAGTCGCCGAGCTGTGGCGGTGGATGACGGGAGTCTACGAGCAACCCGCGGCCCCGAGGCCTGGGGGAGTGAGTGGGCAGCGACGGCCCGGCAGGCACTCACCAGTGCGCATGTGTGGCTCTCTGCCGCGGGTCCGTACTCCAGTGTGGTGAAGATGTCACAGGCGTGCGGCCCTGTGTATGTCGCAGCCATCGCCTGCCCAGGCCGCTTGCCACGAAAAACTGCTGGGCGCTCTGCCCAAGGGAACCTGGAGGCCCGAAGGGTGGCAACGCGCCCTCTAGCCTGAAGAGCAGGACCAACACCCCGCCCACTGCCCGCCTTAGGGCCCGGTGACCCCGCCCACGGGCCCGCGCGCGGAAAGCGTAGTCGGGAGCATGCGTACTCCGCAGAGCGCGAGGTCAAGGAGACCGGAAGTGCAGTTGCTAACGGGGCGCCAGAGTTGGACGGGTACTAGTGTGTCTTCCCGCTACATCGTTTATACTAGAAACAGGCAGTGCAGCTTTCAGTCTGAAGAATATTTACTAGAGATCCGTATCTAGCTGATGCGGGTGTGAAGCGATAGTTCAAAGACAAGATGGGAGTCCTCTTGTGCCTGAGGATGGACACTGAGATTGAATCTTGGAAGTGTGGCAGCCTTGACTGCCGGGAAAGAGCGGAAGTGTGGCTTTAATGGATACAGGAAGTGTGGCATTTAGTCATGTGCCTCAGGATTTACTTTTGATTGGCTGAAGTGAGAGCGTGGCTTTAAAGTTGGACTATGATTGGTCGGTATGAGTTGCCCGTCGGAAGTGTGGCCTACCCTAGTCCCACGGTCGCACAGATACCAGAGGTGTGGAGGTCTGGCACGCAGGACCCAGGGTACATCTAGAGCTGCTGATTCCCAGGCCGCACAGCAGACTAACCAGAGGTGTGGAGGTCTGGCACGCAGGACCCAGGGTACATCTAGAGCTGCTGATTCCCAGGCCGCACAGCAGACTGTTTGCAGAGAAGAAAAATCACAGACAAGATCGGGTCTGGCACGCAGGACCCAGGGTACATCTAGAGCTGCTGATTCCCAACCGATTTGTCGACGGTGCCTGGTCTGGAATGGAATTGTAGTCTCAGTCCAGATTCATACGTTTTTGAGTAGAATAGTGGGTATTCGATTGAGGGCGGGGAGCAGACACTAGAGTTCGCATCCTGGGGAAGGACGCGAGGGTGCTGAAGACGCTCTTTCCCAGGGCCATGGCCGACTCGAAGCTGCTGGAACCAGAGCTAAGCGAGGTAGAGACGATGGGTGCGGAGACGACGCGTTTCGAGGAGCTGCTGCTTCAGGTGCAGATTGACCGGACTCCTGGATCCCTGGGTATCCGGGGTTTTTGTTTGGTTTGGTTTGGTTTGGTTTGGTTTGGTTTTCAGAGATGGGACTACAGTTTCCAGAATGCACTAGGGCGGCAACAGGGCCTATGGGAATTGTAGTTACTTGGCTCCAAGTTTGCTAAGCTCGTAAAGATATGGGAGTGGGGTTGGGGTTCTTTGGGTCCTCAAAGGAGGAAGAGAACCTAGGCTATCTAATTTCTCACGTTATCCACCGCTCTTATACATAACAGTTGCCCAGACCGGCCGGTTAGCTCAGTTGGTTAGCGCGTGCTGCTAATAACACCGAGGTCCAGGGTTTGGATTTCCGGACTGCCAGCCATCAAATAAATAAATAAATAGATAGATAGCTAAAATTGCTCATTAAGCCTCTGAAGAGTAAATGAGGGGTCTGATAGCACAAACTCGAAGCCTGGAGTTTGTTTCCTTTCACACAGGCCTCCAAGGAGCTCCAGCAAGCCCCAACAACCAGACCAGAATCCACACAGATCCAACCTCAGCCTGGTGAGAAAGACAGAAACCCGGAGAGAAAGGGATTGAGTCCCAGAGAGAGAGGGACAGAGAGGCAGAGAGAGGAGGGATTGAGACCTGGGGCAGGGGACAGAGAGGAGGAAGGAAAGAGACACAATAATGGGGTATAAAGGCCTGGGGGGTTGGGAATAAAAAAAAAAAAAGGCCTGGGGTGTGTGGAGGGGATGAGCAGACACCCAGAGAGATCACACAGGGACAGTGGTCCAAAAAGGGGAAGTGGAGGACAGAGAACAGGAGTGTGTAGGGGGACAGATAGGAAGAGGGTCAGGGATCTCATGGGTGGGGAGGGAAACCTAGAAAGAGGATAGAGACCCAAAGAGGGGTACAGAGCAAAAGAGAGAAAGAGACAGAGAGGATAGATGGAGACTGGGACCTTTGCAGACAGATGGCCAGGACAAACCCTCTCCCACCAGGTTTCTGTGTAAAGACCAACTCATCTGAAGGGAAAGTTTTCATCAACATCTGTCACTCTCCCTCCATCCCTCCTCCGGCTGACTTGACGGAGGATGAGCTGCTTCAAATGCTGGAGGAGGACCAAGCTGGGTTTCGCATCCCCATGAGTCTGGGAGAGCCTCATGCTGAACTAGATGCAAGTCAGTACCCTCGGAGAACCCAGGAGTCCAGCCCCCAGGTCCCTTCTCCCCTAGCACCCAAGAATACAGGTTCCATGGCCCTTCTCCCTCACATCCCGGAAATCTGGCCCCCAATCTGATCCTTTTCCTTGTGGAATATCCGTATTTCTTGGGCATCCAGCACCCAGGCAGTCCTGGTTCTGTCACCTGGCTGGTCTGGTACTTCTCTGTGCTCCACCGGAGGGTGGGGGAGGGCTGGGCAGAGTGCTTTGCACTCATTAGCTGATCTTGCTTTAGTCCCAGGTCAGCTCTCACTCTTTCATCCCTGTTTTCACCTCTGCCCTTCTCCCCTGTCTTCATCTCTGCCTTGTCTTATCTCTGTCCCTGTTTCTGTCTCTGTATCCTTTTTTAAATTCACATTTGTCTTTTGAAGCCTCTTGGGGCCAAGCTTTTAGCAGTGCCCTGGGGAATAGAGGCTTATCAAACCCACTCCCCATCGTGGGTGGGGCCGAAGGAGATGGATGCAATTTCAATATGGTGTGATTTGTGTTACATTGGAGGGGGCACCCAGCACAGCCCTGAGGGGACTCTTCACCCACATGGAAGGGTCAGGGAAGGCTTCCTGAAGGAGGAGATGTCGGTTAAGATTTGAAAGAACGGGAGGAGTTCAGGCAAAGACAGAGAGGAGGGTTCTAGGCAGAGAGGACAGAGGGGTCCAGGGCTGGGAGAGAATGATTGGACTGGACTGGTCGCTTATAGAGAGTGACAGGAGGTGGCTAGAGGAGAAATGAGCTTCTTTATAGAGGTGGGAGAGGCAGACCACACAGGGCCTCCAGCGCCAGGCTGGGGGACTCAGACCTTCTCTAGGGGGCGCTGCGGAGCGAGGGGAGAACTGTCAGCAGGGGAGGGGGAGGGTCGCCTCTAGCGACATGGTAGGGATGGACCAGAGAAGGAGAAAGTGGAAGCCAGGGAGGAGACTAGAGGCCAGGGAGGAGACTGGTCTGAGAGTCGAGTGGAAAGTGGCATATATTGAGCTCTCACTGCCTAGTATCTCTGTTTCTTGTGGCTGCTGTGCCTGAATGTTTTTTCCTTGTCTGTCTGTGTCTGGGCTGTGGGGTTCCTGCGGAGGGCTGGGGCGTCTCACCCCCTTTCTCTCTCCGCAGAAGGCCAGGGCTGTACCGCCTACGACGTAACTGTCAACAGCGACTTCTACTGGAGGATGCAGGTTGGGGCGGGGTTATGGGTGAGGTCTGGGCAGGGGCCTCTCCCTCCACCCCCTAGCCCCATCGCGTCTCTTCTTCCTCTCTCTCACCCCTAGAACAGCGATTTCTTGCGGGAACTCGTGGTCACCATCGCCAGGGAGGGCCTTGAAGACAAATACAGTTTGCAATTGAATCCGGGTGAGGGCAGAGCCTGGGCCATCAGGAAGGAGTGGAGCCAGGAGCAGTTTGGGGGCCACCTTTGGAAGAGGTGGGGCTAGAGTGAGCAGGGATTTTATTAGCTCCTGTTCTGGAGGCTGCGGATTCCAGGGAGGATGTGGGGCCTCCCAAAGCGAGGGGGTGGGGCTAGGCTGGGGATTCCGGGTAGAGGGCAGAGCCTGGATAGCCTAGAAGGGGCGGAGCCAGGAGCATCTCCAGGGGTAGATTTTATTGGGACATAACACGGGAAAAGCGTGACTAAGCGTGGGTAAGCTTCCTAGAGCCAAGTTTGGGGGCATGGTCAGGTCCCAGGCATCAGGGAAGAGTGGAGTCCTTGGCTGTGCTGTACCTGAGAGAGTAAAGGGAACCCTGGCCTGTGTGATCTTTGACTCTGCACTCCCTACTCTCAGAGTGGCGCATTTTGAAGAAACGGCGTTTTCTGGGCTCCATCTCACAGCAGAACATCCGCTCCCAGCAGCGTCCTCGGATCCAGGAGCTGGGGAACCTGTATACATCCGACTCCCAGAGAGCCGAGGAAGGGTGGGCTTTCAGTGGATCCCCTCTCTAATGGCTCCCCAACACTGTTCTGAATCCCTCCCTCAATCCTCCCTCTCCACATGGGGTGATTCCCTGGAAAGGTATCCTGGGGCAACAGGGCTGGTTGGAGGAAGAAAGGGAACAGCATGCCAGGCAAAGGGAACAGTGCTGGCAAAGACCTGGCAGCTACCTCAGTTCTGGATCTTGTTCCTCCTTAGCCCTGAGAAGCCTCACTTGAACCTTTGGCTGGAAGCCCCTGATCTCCTCTTGGCCGAAATTGACCTCCCCAAATTGGTGAGTGCATGCTCGACCACAGCAGGAGAATGAGGTCTGGAATGGCCTGGGGCTTTCTCAAGGGGAGTGATGAAAGGCTGTCACCCCACCTGTGTAAGCTGCCTCCTCTGTCCCATGAGGCCAGAGGCCCACCTTCTCGTGCTGTCCTAAGGATGCTCAAGCGATCATAAGTGCTTGATTGTTGAGGCTTGTAATTACTGTCCCCTGCCTTTTTCCTGGGAGATTAGATCCTTTAAATATAGTTTCCCACCATGTGAGGCTACTATGCCTCCTCCATGTTGTTATTGTTCTGTTGATGGGGAGAGTGGGCTGAATCCACGACATCTCCAGGATGGAGTCCTGGGGCTGTCCCTGGAGATTGAGGAGAACCGCCTAGTGATCAGGGGACCCCAGCAGCTATATCATCTGGATGCCTACATTCCCCTGCGGATCAACTCTGATGAGAGCAAGGCAGCCTTCCACCGAAAGAGAAAGGTACCTGGAGGGAAGAGTTCAGGGAAGCTGGGACATTGAGGGGGCTGGAGTGTGGGCTTGTGGTTCTGAGGGAGTAGGGGGCTCAGGGCTGGTCTTCTGGATCCTGAATTTCTTTTCTTTCTCCTCAGCAATTGATGGTGGCCATGCCCCTTCTGTCTGTGCCTGCTTGATCAGGGTGTTTCCCTGTGCTTCCAAATGTTGAGAAAAGGCTGGTTGCTTCTCTAAAATTGAAATAAAAGAATTTTGCCTTTGTTCTGTCTCTGGCTAGGGATACCTGTGGAGTAGAAAGGAAGAGGGACATTGGGCTGTCCCTAGAGTCCCATAGAGGTCACTGCCCTAGCTCAGGCCTCATTGTCTCCCCCTGGATCCTCTCCCCTTGTCCTGGCCTCCAGTATCTGCCTGGTCTGCAGAGCAGACCTTGCACTTTTTCTGTTCACATCCCTTCCATAGCTCCCAGGAGACAGTCCAAGCCCCTTTCATGGCTCAGTTTGACCTCCTCTTCTCACTGGGGTCCAGTCACACTGAGCAGCATGTCTTTTTTTTTTTATTTTTTTTTATTTTAAAAGATGACCGGTAAGGGGATCATAACCCTTGACTTGGTGTTGTCAGCACCACGCTTATTTATTTTTATTTTTTTTTATTTTAAAAGATGACTGGTAAGGGGATCATAACCCTTGACTTGGTGTTGTCAGCACCACGCTCAGCCAGTGAGCAAACCGGCCATCCCTATATGGGATCCGAACCCGGGGCCTTGGTGTTATCAGCACCACACTCTACCAAGTGAGCCACCGGGCCGGCCCAGAGCAGCATGTCTTGACCACACCCATTTTTCATACCTTCTCTTAGTTTCTCCTGTTCCTTTACATAGTATCCTCTTCTCCAATACATCTGCCCAGGAAATTTCTAATTGTCTTCAGTTCTTGTGCAGTAGTTGCCCTCACCAGGGGGTACTTCCTGACCCCTTCGATGATCTGGTCTCTAGCCTCTCTCTCCTACCTTTCACCCTGACAAACTTCCCATTCCTGTAATCACACACATATCACAATTACACCAAAGTCTTCTAGGGCCTCAAACCACCAGGCTCTTTCTCACCTCCTGACTTTGCAAATGCTGTTTCCTCTGCAGGGGATGTTCTCCCTACTCTACCCCTCTCCCATCCCTTTTAATCAAACTTTCTCTGGAAAACTTTTCAAATTTCATACTTTCTCTGATCTTCCTTGGCTGAGTTAGTTCCTCCTCCGGTGGTCCCCAGTTCCCATTATTACTCCCATTATAGCTATGTCTCCTGAAGTGGGACAATGCCTGGCACATAGTAGGAACTCAACAAATATTTGTTGAGTTAATGAATGATTGTCAACACCTTCCCCTTCTTTACTGGGTCCTGGGAGGATAAGTAAATGGAGAAACTTCAGTGGCAAGTGTTGAAAGAGCAGCGAGTAGGCCAGTGTGGCTGGAACGAAGTGAATTGGGAAGGAAAGGGAGTGGACCGTTAAGTCTGAAAGGTTGCGGGGATAATATCAAATGGGGTCTGTTGGGCCACGGAATGCATGAGGGAACGTAGGCGTTGTGTCCACCAGAGGGCGCGACAGCTTCGGCCCTTTGTCTCAGCGAACTACATCTCCCAGCGGCCCTGGGAGTACGCCGCCCTTCGCAAACAAGAAGGTCCAGCGGCAGCCGGCTGTGACTTGTAGTTCGGACGGGGACTCTCCTTAGGAGGCCGAGGAACTCATTCCCAGGTCCTGCAACAGCGTGGGGCTGGGTCCTTCCTCCCTTGCTCTGTCTCCATGGTGATGATTCCGGCAAAGGCCCAGGATTTGGCAGCGGCGGCGTCCCCTTCCATTCCCGCCTCTTCACCATCTGCTCCACCCTCACGCCTGGCCCGGCGCCGCGGCTACCGCCTCCGCATCCAGGTTCGGGACTCTGCCGCCACAGGGTGGCGCGTGTGAACGACTCCGCGAGCTACTCCGCCTAGACCCAGGAGTCCCGTCCCCAACAGCCCTCCTCCTTCAGACGGAGTCCAGGCCCGCGGCTGCCTCCTACCCGAGGATCTGGGGGTTTCTCAAACAGGCAAAACTGTGAGACCCAGAGACCCAGCCAGTCAAGGCTGGAGGCGAGAGGCCGCGGCGGCCAGTGGCTTCCCGGCCAACCCGTCCTTGGCGTCAGCCTGCCGCACAGTCTGCTCCTCCCACCCCTCGCGGGCCACATCATGAAAATTTAATCACAAATGCATTTGCGGCCCGACGTGGGGAGGCAGTGGAGAAAGGAGCAGCCTCTTGGGGCCTGGACCTGGAAGTGGACTCAGCGTCGGGGAGAAGGGCCTGGACCTGTCTGCCTGCTGGGGACAGAAAAGAGAGTCCGGGTTCTACCCCAGGAGGGCGGGGCTGCCGTTCAGGGTTGGAGATGGAAGTCAGGGGACGGGGACAGAACTCAGGGGAGTGGGGAAAGAACACAGAGTGGGGAGGGCACTACAGGGGTCACAGCGGGCAACTGGGGTGGGGGATCTAACTGTAGGGGAGGGAACTCGGGAGGAAATCGGGGGTGGTGGGTGGTCGGGCTGAAGGAACGCGCCTGCAGGGGAAATAGGACTGGAGGGGCGTGGAACTCAAAAGGGGAGTGATGGAAACGCAGAAGTGTGTGGAGCTCAAGATGAGGAAACTGGATGGGGGCAGGAGCTAGAGGGGAGAAGGAGTACACTGAAGTAGGGGTTGAAATTAGGGGGAAAGAATTCCTGAATGAGAAAAGAAAGAACTCGCAGAATTAGGACGTTGGAGCTGGGGATGCCGCGGGATGGTGATGGAATTGCAGGCGCTGGGGCCAGAGTTCAGGGGAAGGTGGAACTGGAAGCCACAGCAATTAGGTGGGATAGGACTCGGAGGATGAAACGGAGAAGGGAACTCAGAGGAAAATGGAATTGTAGGGGACGAAAATGCGGGGACGAAATTAGGGGGGACGGAAGTGGGGGTGACAAATCTCAGGTGGGGAAGAGAACTCAGGACAGGAGAGAAAATCTGGATGGAGGAGGTAGGGAGGATGGAATGGGGTCAGTAACTTGGGGAAGGGGCAGAATAGGGGCGATGCAATCCGGAGTTCAAAACCCAGGTAGGGACAAAACTAGAATGAGAGGGCTGCAAAAGGGGGCGGGGCTAGCATGCAAGGGGCGGGGCCTAGCGCAGACGGGGCAGGGCCTCTCCGTGCCCCGCCCCTTCTCCGCCCCCGGCGTTGAGTCCTGTCACAGCCCCCAGACAGCCGGCACCAGCAGCCTCCTTCCCCCCGAGCGGAGCTGCGGGGCCGGCCGGGCCGGGGCGGAGCCCGGGAACCCGGACGCGGCCGTCCGGGCCCGCGGGCGGGGGGTCGGCGGGGCAACCGACGGCAGGGGCAGCCACCATGGAGTTCCGCCAGGAGGAGTTTCGGAAGCTAGCGGGTCGCGCCCTCGGAAGGCTGCACCGGTGAGCGTGGTGGGGGTACTGGCAGGGAAAGAGTGTGAGGGTCCGGGGAGGAAGCTCATTCCCTCTAGGTTCAGACGGACAGGCGGTCCCCCAGCATGCGGGCGGTCCACCCATCTGTCCGGTTTTCTCCCTTGGTCGGCAAGGGCGCCGTTCTGCTGATTTGTCCATTATCCGGTTCATTTTTCTGCCCCCTACCCAACTCCAGGCTCCACTCTCTTCTTTGGGACTGTATATCCCCCTATCTCTGGGTCTCTGACCTCCTCTCCCCGATCCACTTCTGGGTCTCTTTCCACCTATCTTTCTGGGTCTCTCTGCCCCCTTTTTCTGGATTTCTTCTCCCGTCTCTCTAGGTCTCTCCTCCTCCCTAGATCTCTGTTTTCCCTTCTTTGGTTCTCTGTCCCCTTCTCTCTGATTCTCTGGCCATTGCTCTCACTAGATCTCTATCAAACTCTGACTGAGTCTCTATCTCCTCTATGGGCCTCTCTTCTTCCCTGGACCTCTGGTCTCCCCTTCTTTGGGTCTCTGTCTCCCACTTTATCTGGATCTCTTTCCCCTCTCTCTGGCTTTTTATTCCCCCACCCTGGATCTTTCCATCTCTTTGTGTCTTTCTCAGTTTTTGTCTCTGAGAGAGTTTAATCTGAAGCTAAAGCGGATTGGGGCCCATCAGCCCTTGTCCTTGAGGGGGGTTAAGCTGGCAGGAAGAAGCCAAGGTGTCCTGGATCGCTGGGGGAAAAGGGAGTTGCAGGACCAAAAAAAAAAAAAAAAAAAAAAAAAGCTCTTGGGTAGGACCGACTTCCCAAAGACTATAGGCTAGAGCTGAGAGGGACTTCCTCTCAGCCACGGTGATGGCCCCAGTGACCTGGGTGTCCCTCAGAGCAGTCTGGACACCTCCCTCTAGTCTCTCACCCTCGACCTCAGATCTGGCTCCAAGTCAGAGAAATTACTCAGCTGCAGAAAAGCCTAAAAATATCTGGCTACAGTGTGGGGAGGAGATGGCCCCACCAGCACCATGCCCCTGCCCCCATCATGCCCTTAGACTCTGTCCCCTTGTCCCACAGCCCTGACCTCATCTTTAGTTGATGCTTTGTCCATCTCACTAGGCCATTCAAGTCCTTTTCTTAGCCTAACGTTAGTCCTGCTGCTGCAGATCACCTCCTAGCTCCAAAGTTACCCCACCCTCTAGTAACATGAGAGACAGGAATAAGACTGGATGAGGGAGGGGGGCAGGAGGATGGCACAGTGATGGGGGTGGTGGTGGAGGGGAAGCTGAGATAACCTCACCCTCTCTTTTTCCAATTTCCAGCCCCTCCCCACCCTTTTTCTCACCTCCTTTCACGAGTTTCTCAAAATACATCAGTGCGAAGTTAGGAGAGTGAGAGAGATGTGCTGATGGAGGGAGGGTTGGGGGTGGCAGAGGGGGCGATGTGTTCCTCAGGCCCCCTCCCTCAGCCTCTGCTTCTCAGTTTCTCATCTGCATCTGGGTGTCTCTCAGTCCATCTCTGCCTCATCTTCACCTCTCTGAGCTGCCTCCTGGGCCTCTAGAGACTCCAGAGCTCAGAGGACCATGAGCAGGGAGGGAGTTTGCACAGAGGAGAGCATTTGGATCCAAAGCCTGAGGTTCACTTTGAAGACTGGAGAGAGGGGAGAATGCCCTGTATTGGATGCAACACAACATCCCATTTAATCCTCTAGACAAAGCTGGAGAAACTGAGGCTCAGTTCTGGTGTTGGGGGGGGGTCAATGGCTGAATACAAGACCCATAATTTGAACCCAGGTCAGTCTACCTCCCAAGGGAGCGAGACTGCAGATTTTCCTCGAGATGAACGATGCTAGAGTGGGTGGAGAACTCCCTTGAGCCAGGAAGCAGATGGTAACCCAGGCAACTTGGGACAAGGACATGGGGGGAAAAGGAATGAAGGAGAGATGAGAAGACAAAGTGCATCCCTTCTGAGAGCCAGGTCTTGGGCAGGTGACAATGAGGGCCAGGAAGTGATCAGGCCTCATCGCTTTTCCTGGGGGTGACCTTGGACATGCTACTTCTGCTTTCTGAGCCTCAGTTTCCTTAGTTGTACAGTGGGAAGAGAGGAGAGAATTAAAGGGACATAAGGGGACAGAGACCTGGGGAAATGGACAGAGACCTTGAGAGAACTAGAGACAGTGACAGAGACTCAGAGAGAGAAAGACTGAGACACCATTTTGGTGAACTGCCTTGTAAGCATGCTTTTCCTCATCACCAAGTCCCCAAGCCTGAGTTCGGGCCATCCAGGGAGGGGAGGGTGATCTCCACCTGGCCTCTCCCCTTTCTGTTCTTGTCTTCTGCAAAGCAGCTGGACTACTTTATCTCTGTCCCTGGTCCTCTCATCCTAAAATTGTTACTATCACCTTGAAGTTCCCTCTTTAGTATCTCACCTTTCAACTCTTGCTCCCATTTTATAGATGTGGGTTACCGGGACCCCGGGTTTAGAAAGCCTTGGTTAGAGACCCGACATCTCGTAATATTAACAACGAATATCAAATTTCAGGGGCTGCAATCACATACTGAGTTTCAGGGTCAAATATCTGATATCAACCTGGGTCAAGGTCTAATCTCATTGGCTGACATATTCTTATGGGCGTGGGGTGGGGGGAGTTCCTGCCATCCTGTAGTATTCATTCCAGGGGCCTCAATTACCCCTCTCTCTGGTTCTCTGTCCCCTTCTCTCAGGGTCTAATTCCTCCTCCTCCTGGTTTGTCTACTCCCCTCCCCCACATTTCTTACCTGCCCCTCCCCACCTCCCTAAGTGTTAGGATGGGAAGGGGCAGCCGTATTCTCTCATCTCTTCCACCCCCTCCCCCAAGACCGTCTGGCTGTTCTTTCCTCCCCCGTCCCAGTCTCCCTCGCCTCCATCTGTTCTAGCCCCTTCCTGGGATCCAGCATGATCCCCTGGCTCCCTACCCACCTCGGAGAGGGGCCGAACCTCACAATTCATGTCCCCAGCCTGTCTCTCCTCTCTCTCCTTCTTTCTCTCAACATTCTGGGTCTCCTCTCTTTACATCTATGTCCTCTCTCCTGGGTTTTTGTCCCCACTTCTCTTTGGGTCTCTGTCTGTCACCCTCTCTCTGGGTCTCTGTCCCATTCCTCCTTCTTTGGGCATTTCTGCCCCCCCCTTATTCTCTCCCCCTCTGTCTGGTGGTTTTTGTCCCCACTTCTCTTTGGGTCTCTGTCTGTCACCCTCTCCCTGGGTCTTTGTCCCATTCCTCCTTCTTTGGGCATTTCTGCCCCCCCCTTATTCTCTCCCCCTCTGTCTGGGTCTCTGTCTCTCACCCTCTCCCTGGGTCTTTGTCCCATTCCTCCTTCTTTGGGCATTTCTGCCCCCCCCTTATTCTCTCCCCCTCTGTCTGGGTCTCTGTCTCTCCATCTCTAGATCTCTGTCCCCCTTTCTCTGGATTTCTCTCCCTTTTTCTTCTGTGTCTCTGGCTCTCGATCTCTGGGTCTCTGTGCAACCTCCCCATCTCTGTCACCCTCCTTTTGGGTCTTTCCCCACGTGTCTCAAGGCATCTCTCTTTCCCTACTGCCTCTCTTTGGGTTTGAGGCAGCCCTCCAAGTACACTATTCATCATCACAGACTCAATCCTAGATACAGAACGGGCGGGGGCGAGAGCCACGCTGGGGAATGAGCCAATCCCCCTACCAGGGCCATCTGTCTCCTTCCAGGACACCACCCGCCACTCCCCTCCAAACCTCTAGGCTGACAGCTTGAACTCAAGGTTCCCCAGGGATGCCGCTACTGGGATGCTGGATTCCAGGGTCCAGGATGTTTCCCCACCCCTGTGTCCCTGGGAATAGGCTTCTGGTGGCTGCGATGGAGTCAGCTGGATTTCGGCCCCACACCTGGGGCCTGGAAACAGAGAAGGGCATGCTACCGAGGCAGGGAAGGAGGGGGGTCGGTATATATAGCAGACGTGGCTGAGGAGCATCTGTTCTTTTGACACCTTTGCTAAAGCATCTCCTTAGCACCTTTTGCTTCCTCAAATAGACTCATATCTGAGAGAGAGGTCTGGAGAATCTTTGGGTCTTAGGGTGAGGGTTGAGGGTACAGGCTCTTGGATTCCAAAAGGTAGTCTGTGGCCTAAAACTTCTGAGTTGACAGAGATGACAGGGCTGGGGGAGAAGAGGACTGAGAACCTGAGTCTGAGGGAGGAGGGGTCTGGTGACCTGAATTCCTGGTCTGAGAGAGTTGGAGACGGGGGGGTCTTGATTCCTGGGTCCTGGGGGGAGAAGGGAGCCAGGGACCTGGACTCCTGGGGAAGGAGAAGGGGCGGGCTTAGAATTCTGGGTCTTGAAAAACAGGAGGTTTTGCCCTGGCCTCGTGTGTCATGCGGGGAAGGAGTCTGGGGTCCTGGACTTCTGAGTCTTTTGGCTCTTGCTGCCCGTAGCCTTCTGGAGAAGCGGCAGGAAGGTGCAGAGACGCTGGAGCTGAGTGCTGACGGGCGCCCGGTGACGACGCAGACCCGGGACCCGCCGGTTGTGGACTGCACCTGCTTCGGCCTCCCTCGCCGCTACATTATCGCTATTATGAGCGGTCTGGGCTTCTGCATCAGCTTTGGCATCCGCTGCAACCTGGGCGTGGCCATCGTTTCCATGGTCAACAACAGCACGACCCACCGCGGGGGCCACGTGGTGGTGCAGGTAGCTCAGGGCTGGAGCCCTGGCGCCTCTGCCCCGTTAGCCCTGCTCACGTTCCCGATGACGTCACATTCGCCCACCAGACGCCCCGCCCACCCCCTTTCCAAACCACAGCTTGAGTAGCCCCGCCCACTGGGCCGCCCCTTAGCTCTGGCCTCGCTTAAGGTCTCTCCTCTTCCTAAGCCCCGCCCCGATCAAGTGAAGCCCCTCCCCTATTTCAGGTCCCCGATTGCGAAGGGTAGACCCCGCGCCAGCATTAGGTCCCCTATTAGTTGCTCCTGCTCCGTTTTGGACCTACTCACAATTTTGCTCATGCCTGTGCCCCACGCTCTTGTCCCCAGGTCATATCTACATAATCCCAGTCCCATCTCAGGTTCCTTCCTAAATTTTGATCTTTGCTTTTCTGAAGCCCCGACACTGCCTCAGTCCCGCTCCATCTGCTATGGCCATTACCTAAAAGCCCGCTTCCCCTCAGACTTTCCACTTTAATCTCCCTATGGGCCATGCTCCTGCACCAGAAAAAAAATCTTGATTTCGGCTGTGGACTATCCCGTCCCTTGCTCCCTTCCAATCAGGCCCACCCCTGTGGCTGTTTCTTGTCCCTGCCTAGATCCCATGCAGGTCACTCCACAAACAGTTCGTAAGTTGGGTAGAACTGGAGAGAGAGCCATCCCCATACATGGGCCCCTGGGCATTAAAGGAAAGAGCACCGAGGCGAGGAAGCAGGCAAAGCAAGGCTTCGAGGCAGCACCGGGGCCCGTTGTTAAGATAGTACTGGCCCTAGCAACGTGAAAGAGCAGAGGTCTTCGACTCATTGACCGAGGGACGGCATGAGCTCTGATTGGCAGGTGTTTTGGCAGCAGGAGAGGGTCCTTGTTGCTAATTGGCAGAGGGACTAAGTCTGTGGGTGCTGATTGGTGGAGGGGCATAGCTCGGGGGCAGGGCGGCTGGTTTGATGTGCCTTTTGGCCCGCAGAGAGCCCAGTTCAGCTGGGATCCAGAGACTGTCGGCCTGATACACGGCTCCTTTTTCTGGGGCTACATTGTCACTCAGATTCCTGGAGGATTTATCTGCCAAAAATTCGCAGCCAACAGGTACAGTAGTGAGATCTCAAGGTGGGCAGTACTACAGTGGCGTTAGTGGAGTTAGAGGGTGTGATCTTGAATTTGCGGGCTGACTCCAGGATATGGGAGGAGCCTCGATTTGCGGGCGGGTCTTAAAGAAAGGGGGGGCTTGTGATCGTCGAAGGTGGGAATCACAGACAAGGTAGGGCCCGGGATTCTGGGCCTGGCCTGCCGTGGGCGGGAAGGGCAGAATCCTAGGCATGGTGGGTAGCTGGATCCTTTTCTCCGACCCTTCCCATCAGGGTTTTCGGCTTTGCTATTGTGGCTACCTCCACTCTGAACATGCTGATCCCCTCGGCTGCCCGCGTTCACTATGGCTGTGTCATATTCGTGAGGATCTTGCAGGGGTTGGTAGAGGTAAAGCCCCGGCCCATGTGACACTGCCCCCGCTCTGACCCCGCTTCTTCTCGTTGAACTTGGTTTTCTCCTCCCTAGGGGGTCACATACCCCGCCTGCCACGGGATTTGGAGCAAGTGGGCCCCACCCTTAGAAAGGAGTCGCCTGGCGACGACAGCCTTTTGCGGTAATGGGAAGGGGCTGGGGATCCAGCTCCCGCATCTGAGGGAGGAGGGGCTGTGGCCTGTACTTCTGTGCCCCAGGAAGGAGGGGCCGGGGGTCCGCATTCCTGCGTCTGATGGAAGACAGGCCTGTTTTCCACCCTGCATCTTCTTTCTCAGGTTCCTACGCTGGGGCGGTGGTCGCGATGCCCCTCGCTGGGGTCCTGGTGCAGTACTCGGGATGGAGCTCTGTTTTCTATGTCTACGGTGAGGGACCCTGACGCCTAGTTCTGGTGGCGCGAGGGCGGAGCGGGGCTGGTCGTCACTCCATTCGCGTCCGCCCTCTGACCCCCTAGGCAGCTTCGGGATCGTCTGGTACATGTTCTGGCTGCTCGTCTCCTACGAGTCCCCCGCACTGCACCCCAGCATCTCGGAGGAGGAACGCAAGTACATCGAGGAGGCCATCGGCGAGAGCGCCAAGCTCATGAACCCGCTCACGGTCCGGGCTCACGTCCGCGGGGCTGGGGCGCGGTGGGGCTGCGGGAGACTCCGGGCTTGAAGCTGCGCGGCCATAGTTCGTGCTGGGTTCTTGCGGACTCTAGAGAAGACAGTTCCTGGAACGTAGGGGGCGGGGCTACAGGAGGAGGATTACGACCCTCCGGGGACTAGCAGGCGGTGGGGGCGGGGCGAAGTCTCAAGGTGGGCGGAACTAGAACCACTGACGGGGGTGCGATGAGATCGTGGGGTTTTTGCTTAGACCTTTGGGCGATGAGGCGAGATTTAGGAGGCATGATTGAATAGAAGGAGACTCCTGGGCCCTTATTTATGTGTCCCTGAGGGTCATCGTGGGGCCCGGACACTTGCGAACCTGAGGGGCCATAGTAAAGTCAGGAACCCTTCATCCCTGAAGTGTCCCCGTGAGGCTGGGATCCCTCGGTCCCCACGGGAACATGGTGTGGCAGAAGCCCTTGGGTCCTAAGAGGTTTCAGTGAAATCGGGATCCCTGGGTCTCTGTGGGACAACAGTGGGGTCCCTGAAAGGACACAGAGAAGCCACCACCTCTGGTCTCCCTCTGAGTGGCCCGTCCCCTCTCCCCCCACAGAAGTTTAACACACCCTGGCGGCGCTTCTTCACGTCCATGCCAGTCTACGCCATCATCGTGGCCAACTTCTGCCGCAGCTGGACGTTCTACCTGCTCCTTATCTCCCAGCCCGCCTACTTCGAGGAAGTGTTCGGCTTCGAGATCAGCAAGGTAGAGTCGTAGAGGGAGGGCAGGGCGCCCGGCGGGAGTGGGAGGCAGGGAGGAGCCCGCGACACCCGAGCGAGCCGGTGGGCAGGGACTCCGAGCTGGCGGCGCCCGAGTCCCCGCCCTGTGCGCCTGCTCCCGCAGGTGGGCCTGGTGTCGGCGCTGCCCCACCTAGTCATGACCATTATCGTGCCCATCGGCGGCCAGATCGCCGACTTTCTGCGGAGCCGCCGCATCATGTCCACCACAAACGTTCGCAAGTTGATGAACTGCGGGGGTGAGTGGCGCAGGGCCTGGACCCAGTCTGGGACAGCCCGGGAGTGGTGGACAGACCCAAGGGTGCAGGACTGTGGGGGTGGGGCATGGTCGGAGGGGCGGGGTCAAGAGGGGCGGGGCCACCAGGGCGGTTCAGGGTGAGGGAGGTCTTGCAGGGATCAGACTCTCACGTGCCAGCCTCTGAGGCCACCGCGAGGAAGCGAAGGGCGGTGTGACTACCCAGGGGGAGCAGGGGAGAGACCAGCTGGGGCCTGCAAGGGCAGGGCTTGCAAAGGGCCGGACGTCGCAGGATGTGAACTAGGTGATGAAGAAGGGTTTTGAGTGGGGATCTAGAGAGACAGGGTCTGGCCGGTGTGCTGCCTAATGAGTGGGGACAGAGAGGAAGGGCGTGAAGGGGCTCAGGTGGGGCCTCAGAGCAACCGTTTGGCTCGTGGAGCCAGTGGGCGTGGCCAAAGGCTGCACCTCGGGGAAGTGGCGGCCTGGTTAGGGCCGGCGTCGGTCGGGCGGAAGGCTGGACGAGACCTGGGCGGCACGTGGATGTGGCCAGGCCGGGGAGGACAGAGGCGGGCTGGGGCGCGAGCAGGCCTGGCGGGGCGGCGTGGGGCAGCCTGCCCACCGCTCCGGCCGGCGCTCAGCGGGACGCGGCCGTCCGCAGGCTTCGGCATGGAAGCCACGCTGCTGCTGGTGGTCGGCTACTCGCACTCCAAGGGCGTGGCCATCTCCTTCCTGGTCCTCGCCGTGGGCTTCAGCGGCTTCGCCATCTCTGGTGAGAACCGCGGCTCCTCGGCTTGGGGGGCCCTGGCCGGCGCTGTAGGGAACTTCCCGGCTTAGCAGCGGGACTTCCAGCGTCACAAAGCGTCTAGTAGAAAGAGCGCGGGGCGGAGCTCTCGCCGGGAGCGCGCCCGCGAGGTCCGGGGGTGGCGTCTGCTGAGCGCGCCTCTCCGCCAGGGTTCAACGTGAACCACCTGGACATCGCCCCGCGCTATGCCAGCATCCTCATGGGCATCTCCAACGGCGTGGGCACGTTGTCCGGCATGGTGTGCCCCATCATCGTGGGCGCCATGACTAAGCACAAGGTTCGTGTGCCAGCCCCGACTCACATGTGTGCACGGCACCTTCCTGACCACGTTCCGTCGCTCGCCCGGGGGCTCCGTGCCTTCCCTTTCTGCTCCCTTTCTCTGACCTCCCTCCTGTTTTCTCTCCAGCTTCTGTTTCTCTGTCCCCCTATTTGACTTCATCCCCCGTTGTCCCCTACAGACGCGGGAGGAGTGGCAGTACGTGTTTCTAATTGCTTCCCTGGTGCACTACGGGGGTGTCATCTTCTACGGGGTCTTTGCTTCTGGAGAGAAGCAACCGTGGGCGGAGCCTGAGGAGATGAGCGAAGAGAAATGTGGTTTCGTGGGCCATGACCAGCTGGCTGGCAGTGACGAAAGCGAGATGGAGGATGAGGCCGAGCCCCCCGGGGCACCCCCTGCTCCCCTTCCCTCCTACGGGGCCACACACAGCACAGTTCAGCCCCCAAGGCCCCCGCCCCCTCTCCGGGACTACTGACCACGTGCCTCCCACCGAGCGGCGGTTTCCAGGGCCGCCGCCACTCACATGTCTGCTCGAGTGACAGTGTCAAGGACCCCCGCTCCTCTCCGTCCTGCCTCAGGCTAGGAGGCCCCCTCCCTGTCCCCGTGCTGTGGAGGCCTCTTCCCGTCCTGATCGCCTGTCAGGGTGCTGGGCTGCGGACCGGCAGTTTCGAGGACGCCCACGTGCCCCGAAGCTCCCTCCTCGCGCGTTCGTGTTCCGGCTCGGTGGCTCCAAACCTCTCCTTGCAGGGATTGATCTGAGTGGACGGTTCAGCTCCTTACTCCCTTGTGGTGTCGAGCACGTCCCTCCTTCCCTTTAACCCCAGGGGCTCTCAGGCGAACCCCGAGATCGCTCACCTTCCCTCTTCTTTCGGAAAACCTCCAGGTCCTCCTCCAGAACTTCCGCACATCTCCCAACTCTGTTCTGCACTTTCCAGGTTTGTTTAACTAATCGCCCATCCCCGCCATTCCAGGGATGGGCTCTCACCAGCGTTTCTGAGGGAAAACGGCAGTTTCCGGCTCCCCCTCCCCTCCCCCACCAGCAGACGCTGCTGAAGCGCCAAGTCCCCCGACCTCCCTGCTTAGCACAGTATCCAGGGAAACAAACGAAGCGGCGGTTTTAAAATATGCCTCTCTCCACTCCATGCACTTTTTCTGACACGGTTTTTAGGTCTAAACAGTGGCTGCTGCAGTTCATTAACTCAGTGGTCGGAAGCCACCACCACTGACCTTCCCCACGGTGGGTTCAGGACGCCCCTCTTGTCTCCAATTCCTTGCACTTTAATCTTCTGGGTGGTTTCAGACTACCCTCAGTTTCTCAGTGGCCATGAGTTGTGTCCCTCAGGGTCTAAGTGACTCAAAATCTGGGATCCTTCCCCCCTCAGACACCCCTCTTCCAGCTTAGAATTTGAGGAACAGGTATAGGAGAAGTCACAGAATCCCAGGAAAGGGAACGGGGCTGAGGGAGAAGGGGGTTTTGCCCGGGGCAGGGTTGTATCTTGTGTCTCCGTCTTGTGATGGTAAACCCTGCCCTGCCCCACTCCCAATAAAATGCTTTTGTGTACAGACTCGATTGTTGTTGGCTGAGGGAGTCACAGGAATCCTGACCTCCAAGCCCCATTTTGCTCAGACTCAGCAGTCTTAGCCCTCAGCCCCTTCCTCTCTCAGACCCCAAAGAAGCAGCCCCCAGCCCCCTTCTCCCTCAGACTCAGCAGTCTTAGCCCCCCCCCCCCCCCCCCCCC